GGTCGATGCTCAACCACTGAGCCACCACAGCTGAACCCATCTAAAATAAACCTTCTTTAAGTGGATAGTTCAGTGGTATTAAGTACATTCACATGGTTGTGTAACCATCTATCCCTGTAATTCTTTTCATCTTGTAAAACTGAAACTCTATACCTATTAAACAGTAATTCTTCATTCTTCCCATTACCCCAGCCCTGGCAGCCACCATTATAATTTCTATCTTTAGACTGCTCTGAGTACCTCACATAAGTAGAATCCCGCAGTACCTATCTCTTTGTGACTGGCTTCTTTCCCTTAGCGTAATGTCCTCAAGGGGCATCCATGTGGTGGCATATTGCAAACTTTCCTTCCTTTTTAAGGCTGAATAATATTTAAGACTATTTTGTTTAACATGTTAAAGACTGTCTCAAATCAGTGGTTAATATTACATTTGAAGGTAAAATATTATAGATCTGTATCCAGATGTGGTCAGGATGCTTGCTGTTTAATATTGTTCGCAGCTCCAGCCAATATAGCTCACTAAGAAAAGGAAATAAATGGTGTAACTGTTGAAAAAAAAAAGTTGTCTCTTATTTTAGCCAATAGTGTGCCTTTCTTTTCAGACTGCAAACCTATTTTGAAGTAAGAGTACATATATTTTAAAATTAGCTATTTTTACAACTCCATCTTTTCATTTGTGACCTAGATCCTATTCTTTTGCCTATTCAAGGACTTTTTCTTGCATATTTTCTTTTCATCAATTTTTTACTCTCTCTTCTGGATTCTCCCCAGCAGCATATGTTATAGTATCTCCCACCTTTAAAATATCCTCCCTCTGACCTCATCTTGCAAATATTCTCCCTCTGACCTCATTGTGTGTTTCTCCAGCTACAATCCCATTTCTCTGCTCCCTTTATAGCCAGACTCTTAAAGAGAATTGTCTGTAGTCCAACTCAGTCCCTTATCTGCCATTTTCTCTTTCTCTTTTTATAACCTTTCTTTTTAAAATTATTCTCCTCCAGATATTTCACATGTTGGCAAGAGGACTCGAATTTGTTTGGGTCCAAGGCCCACTTTAGGCATGTGCGCCAGGCAGAGCTGCACCCCATCCCCCCTCTTCACTCTAGTCTGTCTTTCAGTTTCACCACTTCACTGACTCCTCCCTGGCCCTATTAAGGTCATATGTGACCTTAGTTGCCCATCGACTGGTCATTTCTCATTTTATTCAACATCTCAGCAGGATGTGGCACAGTAGCCTACTCCAACACACTTTCTTCAGCTGCCTTTTGGGATACCAGAGTCTCCTCGTTTTCATCCTATGACACTCATCACTCCTTCTCAGTTTCCTGCATTGGTGGTCCCTGACTCTGCCCTGGGATCTCTTTTCTTCTGTGGCCATGGCCTCTCCTTGGATGACCTCATCCAGGCTTATGAACCCTAACAGCATCTAGGGACTGATGACCCTCGATTTATATTTCATGTCCTTCTCCCCCCACCAAGTCCAGATTTGTAAATCCAAATGGCTACTTGAAATCTCCATCTGCACATGTAATAGGCAACTCAAACTTGACCTGCCCAATCTTGATTTTTCCCTCTCAAACTTCATCCTCCTCCATTGTTCCTCATCTACGTTCATCAGACCTTGACACACTTTTGCTCAGTCCCCCAAACCACAATACATCCTTGAGTTGGTATCTTGCCTTCCACTGTCTTCCTCTGCAGTGTGTTCCTTCACAAAAGCCAAAGTGACCTTTTAAAATGTAAATCAGGTCATACCACTCCCCTGCTAACCTATTATCCTGTATAATAAAAGCCTAATATGCTAAGTGTCCGGTCGGCCATTCAACCAATCAAAGTGTAAAATGCTAATGATATGCTAAGGCTGCTCAACCACTTGCTATGATGTGTACTGACCACCAGGGGGCAGACAGTCAACTGGTTGACCAATCGCTATGACATGCACTGACCACCAGGGGACAGACGCTCAATTCAGGAGCTGCCCCCTGGTGGTTAGTGCGCTCCCACTGGGGGAGCGCCCGCTCAGCCAGCTGCCGGGCTCACAGCTGGCTCCCCGCGGGCCTAAGCCAGCAGCCGGACATCCCCTGAGGGCTCCCAAACTGCAAGAGGGTGCAGGCCGGGCTGAGGGATCCGTCCCCCTCCTCCTGAGTTCACGAATTTTGTGTACTGGGCCTCTAGTACTTAGAATAAAATTCTATTATTTTTACCCATCTAAAGGGCCTTAAAGTCCTGGTCCACGATTGACCTTCTGACCTGCCCTCCCTGACTGTTTGGCTCCGTCCACTCCAGCCTGCCCTAGTCAGCCTCCTTGCCTCCACACAGCTTCCCTGGGCCGCAGCTGGCTTTTCTTGATGTGCACACGGCTTGCTCATTATTAGGGTCTTGTGCTCAACTGTCATTTCTTCAAAGATGACTTCCCAGATAACTCTAAGATATGCACCACTAGCCCCAGTCTGCTTTGTTTTTACCCTGCTTTGTTTAACTTCTATCAATTACCAGTGTCTGAAATTATTTTTCTATTCATATTCTTGTCTTTCCCACTCAAATGGAAGCTCTGCAAGGGCAGTGGCTTCCTATGCCTTGTTCTTTCTTGTATCCCTTGTGCTTAGAACAGAATTGGCACGTAGTAGGTGCTCAGTTAATAACTGTTGAATAAAGTTCAGCACTTACCAGTTATAAAACATACTGCGGGGGTGAGGGGGCAGTCTGTTTACAACAGTGATATATAGGGAGATAGATAGATAGATAGATAGATAGATAGATAGATAGATAGATAGATGATAGATAGATAGATAATTATCAATAAGTAAAAAATAAGCAACAAACACGAGGTATCATTTTTCCCTATTCAATGGGAAAAACTAACGTTGGTGAGAGCGCTAGGAAATGGGTACTGTCATTTGCCACTGGTGGAAATATAAAATTGTCTAAGCTTTCATAAGTGATGAGTCATGGATGATGTTTATCTCAACTTTCATGCATCATGAACTATGTCTCCCATTTTTTCCAATAATTACTCCCCCCCCACATAATTACTTTTTAAGCCAGAAAAATCCAATCATCTTAATCTTTCCCCCCCTCTTTAAAATAAAAATTTTGTGAAGTTGATCCCAGCAGCAGATGGCCTTGTTTTGCAGTTGCCTCTTAAGAATAGTTCATCTGACCCCTGTACCAGGCTTCCCTGAGATCATGCAATGCCGGTCATTGAGAACTGTGTGCAGAATCACTCTTGTTCTGCGGCCCTGGGCTGGCGTGGGGAGCCCATCGGACATGTGGGGCTGGGGAAAAACATGCAGGCGTGGCCCACGCAGTCTGAGGGGGGGCGGCCCACAGCCCTCCCCACCAAGACCCAGGTCTCCACAGAAAGGGAAGCCTAACATTCCTGGGCAGATCCCCTGCCCCACCCAGCTCCCTCGCTGCCTGGGATTGAATTAAAAGCAATAATAGTCATAGCCACACGCGCCTTTCTCTCTCCCGTATGCAGCTGGACCTCTGATGCCCGTTTCCTTAGACACGCTCGGCCCTGCTCTGCCCATGCCTGGTGGCCAGCCTCCTGCCTGGGCCCAGTCCTGGAAGGGAAGTTCGCAGCTGAATCCCCAATGGGCCATTCTTGTTTCCCCTGGTTTCTGTCTTTCCTGGAGGTTCATTGGTAGCTGGACATTTCACTTAATTCTGTTGCTTTCTGGGCTTGGCAGTTACGTTCCCAAGCACTCCGTGGCTCACCTGGACAGTGTTCACCCAGACGGCTGAGAGCAAAGCCCGCACATACTCGGCTCCTATATGTTGCATTCACATTTCCTCAGCCTCGTCCCACTTAGAATCTGGCCTCTGACAGTGTGCACAGTCAGCCTCAAGACCTGCCAACCATTGTGGATTGTTTAGAGTGTCATCAAGAGTTAAGGGTTGAGCCTTAGCCGGTTGCTCAGTGGTTAGAGCATCAGCCCTCAGACTGAAGGATCATGGGTTGGATTCCGGTCAAGGGCATGTACCTCGGTGTCAGGCTCAATCCCCGGCCCCGGTCAGGGCTCATGCAGGAAGCAACCAATCAATGTGTCTCTCTCACATCGATGTTTCTCTCTCCCTTAACTCTACTCCTCTTTTCCACTCTCTAAAAATCAATGGGGAAAACATATCCTTGGGTAAGGATTAACAAAGCAAACTAACTAACTAAAAAAAAGCTGAGGGTTGGGGCTGGCTCAGGATATTGCTTCCCTAGTGTTTGCTGGCTGAATGGCACACAGGTATAATGACTCTCCATGTCCAGGGACCTGGTGAAGCAGTGAGAGGGGCAGATTTTAACTACTTGTCTTCCGTTTCCTGTCCCTTCTCCGTTGGGGTTCAGAACAGGGGAGCGCCTTCCTGCTGAGAGGGTGGACAGGCACCAATAAAAAGCCTCCCTTTTTGCCTTAACCACTTGTTCTAGTTGTGTTCAAGAAGCATAATCCACCCTTGCCGGTTTGTCTCAGTGGATAGAGCGTCGGCCTGCAGACTGAAGGGTCTCGGGTTTGATTCTGGTCAAGATCACATACCTGGGTTGCGGGCTTGATAGGGGGTGTGCAGGAAGCAGCCAATCAATGATTCTCTCTCATCATTGATGTTTCTATCTCTCCCTCTCTCTTCCTCTCTGAAGTCAATAAGATAATATTTTTTAAAAAGGTGCATAATCCATCTTCATCTTTATACTTGTTAGAGAAAGTGCCTGGGGGAGAGGTAGGAGAGAAGAATTCTCCTAGAATAAGTGTCATCTATCCCTCGTCGGCCTCTGCCGTGGCTTGAGCCTGGACTCAGACTCGGGGTCCCTGCACTGTCACAGGCTGCAGGGGCAAGGGGGCTGCAGTCTCCCCTGTCCATTTGCCCGGCCAGCCCTGCTCTCCTTCAGTTACTCATTTATCTGCACTTTTGTGTCTCCAGGCCACCCATCCCTCATGCCTGAGGGGTTCAAAAGAACCCTGCAATTAATCTAGCTTGAACTTAACCACCTTCTTTAACTTTTCTTCTTACAGCTTAAACTTTGGAACAAATACCGAATTTCCAATATTCCATCACTGATATTCCTAGATGCCACCACCGGGAAGGTTGTGTGCAGGAATGGGCTGCTGGTGATCCGTGATGACCCAGAAGGTGAGACCTTGGCATGTCCGTGCTGTACCCACCTCTGATCCTCTACCCTGACCTCCTTCCATTGCTGGAGAGTATGCAAATGAAATGCAAATGAAATACAGTTGACCCTTCAACCACATGAGGGTTAGGGGCGCCAACCCCCACGCAGTGGAAAATACATGTATAACTTTAACTCCCCCCCAAACTTAACTACTAATAGCCTACTGTTAACCGAGAGCCTTACTGATAACATAAGCAATCAATTAACACATATTTTCTATGTTATATGTAGTATAAACTGTATCCGTACAATGAAGTAAGCTAGAGAAAATAAAATGACATTAAGAAAATCATAAAGAGCCCGGCCGGCGTGGCTCAGCGGTTGAACATCGACTTTTGAACCAGGAGGTCATGGTTCCATTCCTGGTCAGGTCACACGCTCAGGTTATAGGCTCCATCCCCAGTGGGGAGTGTGCAGGAGGCAGCTGATCAATGATTCTCTATCATCACTGATGTTTCTATCTCTTTCTCCCTCTCCTTGCCTCTCTGAAATCAATTAAAATATGTTTTTATAAAAAAACAAAAAGAGCCCTGACCGGTTTGGCTCAGTGGATGGAGTGTCGGCCTGCGGACTGAAGGGTCCCGGGTTAGATTCCGGTCAAGGGCATGTACCTTGGTTGCGGGCACATCCCTGGTGGGGGCTGTGCAGGAGGCAGCTGATCGATGTTTCTCTCTCATCCATGTTTCTGACTCTGTCCTCCCTTCCTCTCTGTAAAAAATCAATAAAATATATTTTTAAAAAAAAGAAAACCATAAAGAAAAGGAAAAAAAATCATAAGGAACAGAAATAAAATTCACAGTACTGTGTGTTTTTATCAGTACTGTAAGTTTACATCATCAGTCTTAGGCTATGCGGTTTATCTGAGAGTTTTTTCAAATTGCTGGTTAAAAAAAAATCTGCACATAATGGACCCAGGCAGTTCACTCATGTTTTTCAAGGGTCAAGTGTATATGTAAGTGGGTTTACTTGGCTAAAGAATATTGTCTTGATGTAATTATGGTTTTCTCCAGGTCATGGTTAAGGTTTTAAGGGATCAGAATGTCCCTCCTGGGAGCTTTAATTCATGGGCGAAGGAGATGGAGCTGAGGAAGGGAGTCAGCTTTGAGGGCGGAGGAGCCGTTGAGCAGCAGCTAGCGCTCCGGTACTCACTGCCAGTGCAGTTCCCCTGGCAAAGTCGCAGGCTCTGTGTCCTCCCCGCCTCACTTCCTGCGCAGGCCTGGGTCTTGCTGGCCGGCTGGCTGGCCACGCACTGGGCAGGTTGCTCCGATCAGGGTGCTCAGTGCTGTCCAACATCGGTTTCTCTCCCCTTTGCACTGGAGTCATAAGTTCTTCTTCCCTCACTTACTGATCCAACTAGGCGATTCAAGCCTGGTCACACGTTTTCCCAGTTAAAATTGCACCTGCCTCAGAGAATCACCCTCAGTAAAAACCAGGGCATCATAGAACCAAGTTTTTACCTTCTCAAATTTAAACACACACACACTACTCAAGCTTGTTAAAATGTCGGTCTCCCCCCTATTCTCCGCCCTCCCCCCCAAGATTTTTGGATCCATTTGTTCTGGGTGGGCTCTGCCACCTGCGTTTTTAGCCAGTCTGTGCTGCTCCCTCCCAGCCTCCCCTCACCCAGGCGATTCTGAGGCCGTGGTCCATGGACCACCCTGTGAGGAAACACTGTCTGTTGAGCTGGGAGCATTTTATTTGCGCTTCCTGCCTGGGGCTTAAGTGTCATCAGAATGCAGACCATCTGGGTTGAGTAGGTTTGACTCTTTCCTTTCCCTAGACTTAAATTGTTATCTCACTTGGTTCCCTGGGCCCCAACTCAAAAATTCTGGGGGCGGGGCCCTGGAGCATCGTATTTTAAAATTCCCCAGTGGTTTCTGAGTTACAGTCAGAGTTGAGATGCCCTGGATCCCAGGGTTGGAAGAGAAGAAACTCATGGTTAATATCTGAGGCAGCTTCCCCAGCCTGGCTCACCACCAGTTCCCCAGGGCGTCGGTTTTGCTGTTTGGGGACGTACAGCTTCAGCCCTGGATCCTGGGATTTGGGGTATGACCTGGGCTTCTGTATTCTTCAAAACACATGCCCTGTGGTCATGCAAGTTCGGAAACCATTGCCTTGAGGGTAGGTAGGACTCTGTCAGGGACGATCCTACGGGTGTTGGATGATACAGTTGCCATGCTCTGCAGCCCCGAGGCCTCTTGGGTCAGAGGCCACACGGAAGAGTCTTAACCTTCTCCCATCTGTTGCCTGTTTCAGGTTTGGAATTCCCTTGGGGACCTAAGCCCTTCAGGGAAGTCATTGCAGGGCCCTTGCTTAGAAATAATGGGCAGTCCCTGGAGAGCAGCAGCCTGGAGGGGTCTCACGTGGGCGTCTATTTCTCCGCACACTGGGTGAGTGTTTGTTCCTCTTCAGCCCAGACAGAACGAAGCAGGGAGGTCCCACCACAACCAGCTGTGATTGGCTCCCGGAGGTGTGACTGCCGGGGCATAATTTCCTGGCGTCCTTCCTTTCTCCTGTGCCCAGTGCATTGTGATTGGCGGGCAACAAGTGCTTATTATTATGAATGATAATAGCAGCAAGAAAATGACTTCTTTTGACTGGTCTAAACAGACAGCTTTCTTAGGCCATTCTGGTGAGGCTTCTCATGGTCTCTGCGGGGGTTTGACTGCTGCCGGCTGGCCGGCTGGGAGGGGCGGGAGGAGCCTGTGCTGGATGCGGCCATCATGCTTGTTTCTGCCTCTTATGGACCAGGTCCTGCCAGCCCAACTCTGTGTGGGCCCTGCTGGCCTCCCGGCGATGGCAGGTGGCTGGGAAAGGGGACGCTGGAGGTGCAAAGTCACACCCAGGATCCTGTTCTTGTCTTTCAGTGTCCCCCTTGCCGAAGCCTCACCCGGGTCCTGGTGGAATCCTACCGGAAGATCAAGGAGGCAGGCCAGAAATTCGAGATCATCTTTGTTAGTGCAGACAGGTAAGGTGGTGCGCCGGAGCCGGTTAACGTGCCTTTGTCTCCCTTCTCACTTCTCGCTTCAGTAGGGTAGAGCTTGGAGATTGGGACTGGGGAAAGCATAGCCGGGATTATTGGCAGTGGGACGGATGCATGTCACATGTACTCTGGGAATTGTCTGAAGGGAAGCCGAGAAAGCCTTGTTCTTGCTGTAAATATGTTGGTAGGTCCTGATTCAGGCCGGGGTCGTTTGAGATTAGGATGCATTTTCCTGATTTGTTCAGCTTTTTGGATTGTGGTGAAAGGATATGGAGGTGGGGGTGTGGGGGAGGAGGATGGAAAGAAAAGAGCAGAGGCTAATGGATTGTGATGCCTGTCTTAGCTGGCTGTGCAGTCACCTTCCTTAGCTCCAGCCATGAACTTTGTCTGGGGGTGTCATAAAAACCAGAGGGGCAGACCTTTTTCCTGGACCATGTCGGGCCCTTTTAGCCTCAGTTTCCTCTGCCTCTTGCCCTCTCCCCGGCTTTATTCATCAGTGACCGTTCTACATCACAAAACTCTGCCCCAATTCAGACCGAGCCGCCAGGTGCTTCCGCCGTTGAGTGCCCGCTCACAGAAGGCTCTCTGAGAGCCAGCGCATGGAGAGCATGTTGTACGCTGAGGTAGCCTTGACGTCCGTGCTGTTTCATGCTGTGGTCCCTCCCCCAGCTCCCTGGCTTCCATCTCAGTGCCTGTGAGTGGGGACAAGCTTGAAGCATGCCAGGTGGAGTAATAACGTGTTTAAAGCTTTTTAAAAAATCAACTTCACTGCAGTATAATTGACATACAATGAAATGCAGACATTTTAAGTACACAGTTCAATGCATTCTGACAAATGTGCGTACCATGTAAGCATCACAATCACAATAGAGCATTCCCAGCACTCAGAAGACTTCCCATGCCTCTCCTCGGCCAGTTCTCACCCCCAAGCCCCCATTTCAAGGCACCCCTAATCTGCTTTCTTGGCTGTTGCTTGATTAGATTGGTCATTCCTGGAATTTCTTACGTGTGGAATCATAGGGTCTATGATTGCTTAAAAGTGTGGTCCTGTACACGCCACTCTTACTATACAAAATAGAAATGTCACAGGAAATGCAGTGTCTGAACATCTGGGCTTCTTATAAAAAAGTGTTAAGAGCCATCTGTGTTGAATATGAAAAGTTGGGCTGGGTGCAGTGGCTCAGTGGTTGAGCATCCACCTATGAACCAGGAGGTCACGGTTTGATTCCCCGTCAGGGCACATGCCCAGGTTGCAGGCTCGATCCCCTGTGTGGGGCATCCAGGGGGCAGCCAATCAATGATTCTCTCTCATTATTGATGTTTCGATCTCTCTCTCCCTCTCCCTTCCTCTCTGAAATCAATAAAAATATACTTTGAAAAAGGAAAGAGAAGTTGGGCATGAGTTAAACTAGGGGGATGCAGGGGAGCAAGCTGTTGAGATGGCCTGGCGTTGTGGTTTGTATCCACCAGCCCTACGGAGGCATTTGCTTCCCGGCGTACAGAGTGGACGGAATGGCCCCTCTGTGTCTGAACACGATCAGACGCCTCTGCATCTGCAGAGCCCTGGGCACGGCTTGGTGGAAGGTGGGGAGGACCCAGCGGTGGTGCCCTCGGGGGTAATAGAGCCTTGTTTCCATGTGTGTCTCTGTAGGTCAGAGGACTCCTTCAAACAGTACTTCAGTGAGATGCCCTGGCTCGCCGTCCCCTACACCGACGAGGCCCGGCGGTCACGCCTCAACCGGCTGTATGGGATCCAAGGTAGGCATTCCCACACCATGGTGCTTCTTGGAAACCTGCTCATCCGGGCTCACCTACGTCTTTGGCTTTCCTTTCAGAGGGAAAAGAACCTTTTTATTTCCATGAATGTTCACTTGCTTTACCATCTTCAAAATGACATGTGGTGAATTTTACATTACGTGGGTTATACTGCTTTTTAAGCAAAGTATTTTCCCAGGGGAGGCAGCTACTCCTCCCCCTCACCAGCTCCCCAGTGACTTGGCCAAAACCCCATCCCGTGGGTTTTACTCTCAAACAGACCTGAGAGTAGTCTGGTTCCATCACTCAGATGCTTTGAGCCTCAGTTTCCTCATCTGCGAAACGGGTGTGCTACATCGCTGCCACAAGACTTGCTGGGAACACTGACAGGAGAATGTATATAAAGCACTTCCCATGATTCCTGTAGCGTAATGGTGAGGGCTGCGTGGGTATTACTTTTAGGTGAGACAGTTGGTTTCCTGAGAGTGTAGCAAACTAGGACTTGGAGTATTGATCATGTTTTTCAGAAACAATGATCATTCGTGAGGCACACGGGGTTTTTGTTCTTTACTGTGTGAATACCTCCATCCAGCCTGCACACGGCCAGGTGTTTTCTTGGCAAAGCACTTAACTAGCCTGTGAAGAGTTAAACTCATTCTCTTTGTATCAGCAGTGCCAGAGCCTGGTCGACCCTCGGTGGGTACAGCTAATGTTTGCGCTGTCAGTCTTACATGGGGAGTGGGAAAAAATTAAGATGTTCCTCCAAATCCCACAGCTTATGGGGGAACTCATCTGATTCTTTAATCTTTTTCTTCACCATTTACAGTAAGCATGTATGACTTTGTTTGGAGCTAAAGTTTCAAAAAATACTTTATTTTAAATCGGTGCTTCTCAATTTCAAATGTGCATAAGAATTGCCTGGGGATCTTGGGAACGTGCAGATTCTGATTCAGTGGGTCTGGGGTGGCCCACATTTTTAGGGAGCCCCAGGTGGTGCTGATGCTGCTGTCCAGGGTATTAATAGTCTAGGTCTATTAATTTTTTTAAATCTTCACCCAAGGATATATTTATTAATTTTAGAGAGACAGGGAGAGAGAAAGAAAGAGGGAGACATGGATGTGAGAGAGAAGATCAATCAGTTGCCCTCCGCATGCGCCCCCACCAGGGATTGAACCCGCAACTTAGGCATGTGCCCTGATTGGGAATGAAACTCGAAACCTTTGGGTACATGAGATGATGCTCCAACCAACTGAGTCAACCGGCCAGAGCTACGTCTATTAATTTTTTGAGAATGTTGGGGGCTCATACCTCCTATTAATAAAAAAGATGAGAGCAGTTCCCTTTCCAAAGAGAAGTCGAGTGACATGACTTTGTTCACTGGTCTAGAAGGAAAAGCACCGAGTTGCTTGGGGAACTTAAAGGAGACGCACAGGCTTGTTTCCTCCCAGCACTCTGCTTGCAGAGACACTGAAAGCTCAGGTGCGCTTTGGTGGGCAGCAGAGGGTGGAATTGCTACTTCCTGGGGATAAGTAAAACTTCATCTCTTCATTCATTCATTCATTCATTTATTCATTCATTCAACAAATACTTGCTGAATGACTTTGAGCAAGTTACTTAACCTCTTTTATCAGTAAAATTTGGGAGTTTCAATGTTTGGCACAGAGTCGGCACTTAATAAGTATTTAACTGACCAGCTCAGGAAAAAAAGGGAAAATTAGGTTTTACAACCTAAAAAAGATAAACTGTTGGGTGTCAAAAACCTTAAACAGCCCTGGCTGGTTTGGCTCAGTGGATAGAGCATCGGCCTACAGACCAAAGGGTCCCAGGTTCAATTCTGGCCAACAGCACATGCCTGGGGTTGCAGGCTCGATCCCCAGTGGGGGGCATGCGGGAGGCAGCCAATCAATGATTCTCTCTCATCATTGATGTTTCTGTCTCTCTCTCCCTCCCTTCCTCTCTGAAATCAATAAAAACATATTTTTTAAAAAAG